GGGGTAAAAGGTAAAATATGATGTAATAAGCACCAACAGTATAGAACTGCTCCAATTAAAAAAGAACATTTTATTTTCATTATTCCATTTCATTTATTTTCTTGGTTAATTATCCATAAATACAAATTTCTAGTGGTTGATATTCAGCTAGTCTGTTAAAAATTTTCATTCTCGCTTCACATTCGAACATAAACTTCACTATAGATATCTTCATCTTTTACTGCTTTGAAATTTTCTCCAATAATTGCAGATGCGTCAGATAGTAGTAGAAGCAGCAGCGGCAGTACATTACTGAAGCATAATTTCTCAGCAGATCAAGTATTGAGGAATGAAGGTAATGGCTGATGAGCTCATATGATAACGGTCAAACTGCACTTATCCATCCGATCAAATCCAACGTGTTTCAGAAAATAGGTCAAAAGTGAAGATACAAAAATCAAAAAGTTCAGAAATTCGCTACTTAGGGACACTATAGAAGGTCAGCATTTGGATTAAGTGGCAAATTAAATCTGAGATTTTCTTTCACTTAGTATATTGATTTCGGAGTATCTCAAAAATAAGACTGGACTATAGAATTTACAAGAAGAAGGATGTTTACCTTGTATTACAAAAACAAGCAAGCAATATGACGCGAAATTTATTTTTATACTTATCTTTTGCTAACGAACTTTTCATATTAATTATAGTATTTCACTTCATAGTATATCTAAAATCCATAGAAAGGATTCTAAAACAAATTAATCCATTTGAACGCAATATTTGAAAAGGTTAGAGGATAGTGTTTGGCGTGAAATCAATGTCAAATTTACAGAAGATCAATTAGAGTTAATGTTCAGTCCTGAACTCGCTCCGGTCTTTATTGAGGAGCTCAAAGGGAAGCGTGTCATTCGCAAATCCCGGAAACAGGTCAGTGCATCGACAAAGAAGGAGTCACAATATATCAAGAAAACATTTATTTATCGCGGAAGCTTCTTTGAATTCTGCAGTACTTTACTTGGGTTCTACTTCATGTTCATATTTTCAATTCAGGTCTGTGAATTTCTCATTAACAGTTATGATGTATAGAACTCGAACTTTTTCATATAATAATAATTGGGCTTAATTATTCTTGATTAAGTCCTTAAGTCCTTATTAGTAGAGCTCTGAAGTTCAGGCTCTAGGGACAAAAAAAGTTTGGTCATTTGGAAATTGCTTATCTAAGTTCGAATTATCTAAGCAAGAGATGAAAAGTTATATAATTTAATTTCCTCGAAACTTTTCGTTCGAATTTCTCCTGTTTTTTTTTCTTTTAATCTACTGCATATATTAACTCCGATCACACGATCATTACATCAAGCGTGAAAATTATCCTGAATTTTATCAGGTCTGGATTCTGATTTCACGGATAGAGATTAAAAATGGAACTTGGTCACTTAGTCCAGCTGAAAGAACCACATGGTGGTTTGACCAGGTAATCAATTTTCAAAAATAGATTTAAGCAGTGATTTTCCTAACATAAAACGGTATGGCAGACTGCGAGAGAAAACATTTAAATAAAGTAAAAAATAAATAAACTTTTATATGAATTCGAGACCTTTTTCCTACAGTAAGAGTAGTTCCTAAGGATAAGGGGGAGAATTTAACGATATTTCTCATTATTTATTATTTTAAAAGTACTACAAATGACCGAAGATCTAAAGAAACCAAGTTGACAAAAAAAGTTGACAGGAGTTAAATTTTCAGGTGGAAAACTTGGGTGACGAGCTGGTAAAGTTTTATATCAAATCTACATCAAAAATTTCACAACCTGAATTTCAGAATAAATAATATCTTTAGGACTATAAAATAAAATTGGTAGAATCTAAAGATGGAGAAGCTGATTGAGGGAATATCCATCAACAACAAGAAATTTAGAAAAACTTCTACGTCAATCCATTTCGTCGGTTCTTACAGTAAAAAATCTGCTGTTGGATTGAATGTAATATTTGAAAAAATCAAATTAATGGTGTTTGGCATGAAATTGCGACGAGGGATAGAATAGACTTAAAAATATGCAAAATTAATCAAAAGGAAATTTGCAAAAGCTCAAATGCTGAATTCTCATGTATGCACTTTGCATCAAGATTGGAGTGAGTTTGGTGAAAATTCAAAAAGAAGAATGAGTTGGAGCTTAAAAACCATCCCTGCATCAACAGAGATGTAAACAAATTTATCATCCATTCATTAGAAGCACAACTTTTGACCTCTTAAGCATAACTCCTACTGCAATCAATCTCTTTTATAAATCAAGAAATTCATAAGTGCATTCGAGCCTAGCTGCTGAAATAGTCGTATTTGATGACATTGATCTGGAGGGGGAGTAAAGCCAGACTATCGCTATTCATTTCCTTTTCGTAAGTCCTCTTCATAGCCAAAACCAACATTTGGGACATGGAAGCAGAAGTAATTCGAAACTAAGGTCATAAGGGTCCTTTTGGATCATCGATAAGGAGTGGCGAGGATGAAATATCGGTTGATCGATGGGAGAACTGCTGATTGTACTGATAAAATATGCAGTAAGGTCAAAAGATCTGTCCGTAGTTTAATAAATTCCAACAATGAATGAGTCATCCATCCATTTGTCTGCTAATTTCTGATTCACAATCGTTAACTTTGCAGAAAACCGATCAGATGCAGGAAGATAGTCAAGGATTAATTAAGAAGAGTGACCTCTCAGAAGGTAAATCCTTCTTTATTTGGGATTTTTTTTGATGATTTTGCCAAAATTCTTTTAATCCTTTTTTAAATTATTTCAGCTCATTGAAATTCGTATTTATAAGAAGAAATTGAAAAATGAAAATAAGGAACTGTCCAGCAGACACTCTTCCAATTATATTTCCATTTTAATTTTTTAGCGAATATTTTTAATAAGAAATAAAGCTTTATTGGTTGACACAGAATGAATATCGTATAAGGAAGTAATAAAATGTTTGTCAAAAATATGCTCCAAACACAAATATTTTACAATATGATTGGAAAAATATAGAAGAAATGTCCAAGTGATAATGTCACAGACACACACACAGACACACACATACATATCTACTTCAATATGCGAGTTTGTTTCTAGAAAGAATCAGCATGAGCAATTGCGCAGCGCAATCTAATTTCCCATAAGATGTTTTTGGAGCATACTACGAGTCAAATAAGTTTTGACATTTGAGAAAATTGAAAAAGTTCACAATTTGGTTAAAAAGGGAAGTGCTTAATTTTCTTTGCAATAACTATCACTTCCCAGAAAAACCTTCACTTTAAAGTAGGGACTGGCCTTGTAAGGATAGTTGATATGAATGGCACAAGGATTTTGGAAAAACAGATCTAATGATCTGCGTAGGTTGCTTTATTTGCGGATAGTAATAACGATTGCAATGAATCCAATAGCTATTTCATCATTTCGAGGGAAATTCCTGGAAGAGATTGAGGAATTAAGAGATACTGGGCAAATGCCGTTTTATATTAAAATAAAATATTTTTTGCTGGAATAGACGGAATTTATTTTTGGAACTTTAGTTTGCATTGTTTTTGTTGTTGGTGGTGATAATTTTAACTTTACCACCCTCATTTTTAAAGGAACGTCATCTGAAGAGTATTTAATGCTTTTCTTGATAACAGTAGTTGCACAAGAATTTGATCACTGGAAGGAAATTCCTATTTTAAATTCAACTATCATGCAAGTTTATTTTGGCTGTATCTTTTTGGCTTGTCCAATTTGATGCAATTTGCTGCAAATCACACCAGCAGTAATTGCGCAGGATTCAATAGCTAAAATTCACCAAGTTATTCCATAATAGCTTTCCAAGAGTGCATCATTCTGCTATTTATTTTAGAGTACGTGCAAAAAGATGACTATAAACGCAAAGTTTTACTGAGG